TTTATCGCACGCGCCCAGCGTGCACGGCCGGCTCTGGACAAACGCACAGCGAAGGGAGGAGACCCCCCCCCGGCCCATTCGGGGCTGGGTCTCTGGCTCCAGCCGCACTCAGCAGCGCACGTGGCTGTCACGGACCCCTTCGGCTGGGGGGGGATAGCTGATTCCAGAGAGAAGATAGGGGCAGCTCATTCCCTCAGCCCCATGGAGAAGGCAACGAAGCTGCAAACGCAGCTCTAAACAAGGAGAGTAAAACCGGGTTACAAACTAATCACAGGGTGGGCAGAGCTTTTGTTCTGCACCAGCCCAAGCTGCCCATCTGTTGTCTCTGCTCTCCTACAGGCGCCGGAGAGATCTGGGCTGTGCTGGGATACTTGGCCCCAGAGAAAATTGTGCAAGGATGAACAACGGATGGAGGCAATAGAATAATCAGAGCAATTTCCCACAGAAATTGGGCAGACACACATCTCTAATTGGCATCCATTATTACATTTGTAACGTACGTTCTTCTGAATTTATTACTTCCCTCTTATAGTGAATGCCCATGAAAATCTCTTGGGACCAGATTGAAGTCATTATAAATAAATGATAAGAAACTAAATTTAGAAAGACTGATAAGAATATTGATTTGTAAAAGAGGAAGGTCCTTAAAAAAAAAAAAGCCAGAGCCCTGCAGGCTTCTGCACCGCTCTGGTGTTCCCTGCTCAGGCTGGCTTGATCCCCGCCGAGAGGAAAGAGAAATGGGCCTGCCTATCCATAATTCACGCGCTTGCAGAGCTCCGGAAGGCTCTGGGAACGCCTGTGAGGGCCGCCGGGCCTTGACACAAAAATAGTGCAATGGTGTTCGGCTTGCGGGCATCCCCGTGGGATGGGCTGGGACACCCCGAGGCTCCGTGACCCAAAGCCAGCCCTCCCCGCGCCGCCCGCTGCTCCCCCCCCACCCTCCCGCGTCTTCGGAGCGGGGTTTGTGCCCAGCTGCTTCACCGTCCCCTCGGCTCCCCCGCG